AGGAATAAAGTAATAAAAAAATTAAGGGGCTATTAAGAGTTGTGAGCCCTAGCCCTGGCTTCAGGGGGAGGGAGAGTCCATTTCCTTCAAGGGTGTGTCTCCTGGTAGGTTGACCATGCTCTGGTGGATGGCCTACACCCAGGAGTATATGGGCAGTACAAAGTGGACTCGATGGGTCATTAGGAAAAAGAGGTCACAAAGTTGGGGGTAGGGAGGAGGGGTGGATCTGGGAGGAATCGGGGAGAAGCAGAGGTGAGTCTGATCAAATTACATTGAGATTCTCAGAGAATTAACAAAAGTATTAAGAAAGAAAAAATGAGACAGGTGGGTCTTATTTTCTCAGTGTCCCTACATGTATCATGTATGTATTATGTATGCATTATGCATGCATTATACATGTACTATGTGTGTACTATGTGTCTCTTATGCATGTACATAATCAGTGTCTCTTGGCCAATTCACTCCTGTCTACAGACTTTCACAGTAACAGTCTCCTCAGAGTGCAGCCGGTGACTACCTGTGGGATAATGGCTGGAGTGCCTGCCCCTCCTCCTCTGCCCTACTTCCCAAAACATGTCAGCTCTGAGCTCCCACATGGACTTATAACACCAAGACCCAGTGCAGCTGTCTCAACAAGTCCCGTCCACTACTCATGCCCACCCTGAACTGCTTTTGAACTTCTCCTACCCAGCCGGCACTTCACAAAGGACAGAGGAGACAAAAGACCCCTGCGCCTGTCACTGCTCATCAGCGCGAAGCTCTGACCCTTTTGTATTCTCTGTGTGCTGAGTGCCCACTTAATGGTTAGTGTGGGAGAGCGATCTAGACCCGATTTCTTCAAATGACAAGTAGTAGGAGACAAAAGACCCCTGCGCCTGTCACTGCTCATCAGCGCGAAGCTCTGATCCCTTTTGTATTCTCTGTGTGCTGAGTGCCCACTTAATGGTTAGTGTGTGAGAGCGATCTAGACCCGATTTCTTCAAATGACAAGTAGCGGCTCATTAGGGTTATGGTATCAGTGTTCAGACTCTGAGGACGTTGGTTTTCCCCGACCTTGGACTGGAACAGACAACAGAATGGTTTTTATTCAACCTTTCACTAGTATCAGTCCTAATGATTAGTGATCTCACTAATATAGGTTTCAGTGATTGTCAAAATGTGTGTAGGAAGTGTATGCACGCAGCTACACAAACACGTATATACACATGTGTACATATATGCATATACATATACATGCACACACATACATACACACACATATATATGCCCACACATATACATACACACATGGACGCATATATACATGCATACACGCATATACATACATACACATATACATGTATATGTACATACACATATACACACGTACACATATACATACATGTATACATACACATATACACACGTACACATATAAATACATGTATACATACACACATACACGTATACATGCATGTATACATACACACATATACATACATACACATATACATGCATGCACACATACACATCCATACGTACACATGTGCATTCAATTACACATGTGTGCATGTATACATGTGTGCATGCATACACACATATGTACATGCATACATACATGTGTGCACATATATACATGTATGAATACACGGATATACATACATACACATATACATACATGTACACACACACTTGTTTCTTCTATAAAACAGTCTCCTTTCTAGTACGGGCTGCAGTTGGGAAAGTTCAAGTGCCACGGGAAACCACAGAGCAGGTGGAGTACCTGTCGTGGGGAGGGTGGAGGGATGAGTCTCATATTTCTGACAACAAAGTAAGTGCCACAAAACAGATGTGGACAGACGAATGGAAAGGAAGACTGGGCTCCTGGGCTGCACGTGAGGGACGCAGGAGACAGAACACAGCATGCGCACTCTGCCTGCTGTTTCAAGGTCTCTGGAGAACTCTGTGATTAACTGTCACCCTTCCAGTGTTCAACTGTTCAGCTTCCCCACAACAATGACTCCAGCTGAAAAAACTTTATCTTCTGATCTGAATCCCATAAACTCCCACTGGAGGAGCTGGGGGCAGACACGCCTTAAACCCAACACCTGCAGGAGTTCACATCAACAGGGCATTCGCTCCCAAGCACTAAGTCCAAGGACGGCTCTTCACTGACCTGGGCTGCTGGCTAGCCTAACTGCACGTGACTTTTTTTCCAGATCAATGTTATGCAAGATTTTTCCTATCCGGGTTTCCTCGTTGTCAAGGAGATTCTCTAAGTAACACCTACAGCTCGTCTGCACCCGCGGCCGTTAGTGGGAAAGAGAGAGAGTCCTATGTAAAAGTTAAGTCAGTCCTGTGGCAAGCATCATTTGATGGTCTATATCCCTCTAGCCTATTTTACATCACACTTATGACACGGCTGGCTTCATTTGCATAGACTTTTGAACCCAGGATGTGCAGGTTCACTGTGTCCTCATCCTGAACCTATTTTTCACTCTGGGTGCATTTCCTCCTGGTGTGGGGCTGTGTGCAGGAGACTCAAAGTGCCATAGGGGTGTGTGTGTGTGTCTGTGTGTGTGTGTAGGCTCTGCTCTGAGACAGGGTTTTTCTATATTGCCCAGGCTGGCCCCGGACTCATGGCACTTTCCAAGTGCTGAGATGACAAGTGAGCACCACCACCCAGCTCGGCAGAAACTTTCCAGAGTGTAAACTACTACATTCCATGGTGTGTTGGTGTATGTGCTTAACTAAGGGGAGCATTTTTATATTTTAAAAACATGGATACCAACAACATACATGCTATGAACTAGAATGTAAGATGTGCTTTATTTTTATTTTATGTGTATATGTTTTGCCTGCATGTATGTAAGCATACGACATGCATACCTGGCGCCCGCAGAGGCCAGAAGAGGGCATCAGATCCCCTGGAACTGCAGTTACGAACAGCTGTTAGCTGCCGTGTGGGTACTGGGAACTGATCCTAGGTCTACAGCACTCAGTGCTCTGAACCACTGAGCCATCTCTCCGGCCCCAAAATGCACTTTTTAAAAGCAGAGCATTCAGGGGATGCTCTGCTGGGGTCAGTCACATGGAGTGCTGCCACACAACCCCAGGGCTTTGAGCTCGTTTATCTTCTGCTATTTGGATGGCTGCTGTAGTTTGGATAAGAGTCTCTCCAGGGCCTGTGTGGTAAAAGCTTGGTCTCCATCTTGGAGCTTTGGGAGGTGGTGGAACCTTTAAGTGGTGGGCCTAGTCTTCAGGTTACCCGGTGTGTCCTTCCACACAGAGGAGCCCAGCCCTCCCCTCTGCCTCCTTCCCACTTCTGAGCAATGGAGTGAAGATGGCTTCACTCTGTCTTCTATGCCGAGCTGCCTCACCACAGGCCTCAGTGCTCGTGGACTGAGCCCTTCACAACTGGGAGCCAAAGAAAGCTTTTGGCCACAGGAGGTGATTGTCTCAGGAATCTACTAACAGGATGGGAAGGTGGCTAACAGACTGGCTGGGGGAACACGGAGAACACCCCTGTACCATTACCGCCAAAGACTGGAAGCGTCTGTGGTTCACTCTCGTCACACAGGGAGGCCTTTCGACCTGGAAGAGTACTTAACAAATATTCAAAGTTCCTGGGGTGCTGGCCAGTGTGCTAGATTACAGGGCTACAGCGCAAACCTAGACAGTTCAGTCAGAGTCTGCGCCTGGTCAGAATTGCAAATCTGCTTCATCATCAACTCTAAGTCACATGCTTTACCTCAGGAGGCAGGCATATCACACTGAACAGTATGCCCTCAAGGATGCTTTCTCAGAGACACAAAAAATAACACCAACTTGAGGCCTCTCTTAGCCACACTTGCTTTATCCTAGGATTTCTCTCCAATTTAATTTTCTTGAAGAAATGATCCTTATAAACTCTGAGTATTGAGATCAATTTAGCATCCAAAGCCCTTTAGAGCTTCTCTTGGCTCACAGCCTCGGTTCCCAGGAAGCCAGTGACACCTCAGGTCCTTCACCCTGTGCATCTGAGGCACACACAGAAGAGCGGGGAACACAGAGAGTCTGGGACAGCCCAGGACCGTCCTACACTCACCTCACCTTACAGAACAGCCTGTGGAAGGCCAGCCAGTGCCACCCAGACCCCTCAGCCAGGCGATGGCCTTTACAGTCCCACAACTACAGAGACCAGACTGAGCAAGAAACAAATAAAGGCCATCCAAGCCTGGCGCACCAGGACCGCCAACCAACCCATCCAAGCCTGGCGCACCAGGACCACCAACCAACCCATCCAAGCCTGGCGCACCAGGACCGCCAACCAACCCATCCAAGCCTGGCGCACCAGGACCGCCAACCAACACTGTCAAAAAAGGAAACATTTCTCTTAACTTCTCTCCACCTTCCAAGATTTCTATTGTTTCTCAGGATAGTTTTTGTATGTTTTTCTTCTAGATAAAAACCAGGTGACTTGAAGACTTTCTTAAGGATAAACTATGACTTAATAGTCCCCATGGAATCACAAGTCCCAATGTGTTCCATTCTAAGTGGAAAACCAGACTGAGCATGGGTTACGGTTGAGACGGGGCTGTGTGAAAAGACGTGGGGTGAAGCAAGGCCACTGGGGGACAATGTCACACCCCAAGACCGAGCTTGAACACCAGCCTGCACTGGGGCACTCCTGCCCCTTGCCCTTCACTGTGTTCGTAGCTGGGGATGGGAGTGCCTTAGTTCGAATGCCCACATACTTCCCCTTCAGTCCCTTTTCCCATAAGACTTTCTTCAAATACTTTTATGGACAAGATTGCTACTGTTTCTACCTATGTTTTACATGTGACATTTAAAAAGTCAGTCAAATGCACTTCTAATAGTCTCCTCTACAAACGAGAAGAACAATTCTAGGTTATACAGATAAATGAGACCTAGTAAAACTTTAAATGTTTAAACCGTAACTCCAAAAACATATCTTTATCATCAAATATCGGTAAATTATAAAGTATATGAACAGGGTGAATAGATTCATCTCCACTTACCACACGTCCTGGGGGAGATTCAAAGTTATGCTGCCTTTGATTTCATCCCGAAAACACATGTAGCCTAACGTGGCCAGGCTGACATACAGAACGGTCACAATGGCCATACCGATGTTCAGCGCCTGGGGGAAGCGCTTAGACTCCTTCATCTGGTTTTCCAGTGGAAGGACCTACGAGGAGAGGACACTGTTTGAAAGAAACATGACCCAAACCCTTGTAACACAGCGTCTCTCCCATAGGCAAGTCGGCCTCTGTGATCTATGTGAGGATCTTTCAGAACAATTTACATGAGCTATGACAGATGTGTGTGCACACATACACTGTGTTCTCACATGTATGCACGTGTACATATGGAGTTTTCCCCTATCACTCAACTCTCCTCTTATTTTCTGAGACGGTCTCTCCCGGAGCCTGGAACTCACCAATTCAGCTAGACTGGCTGGCCGGGGAGCTCCAGAGATTTGCCTGACCCCATCTCCCTAGCACTGGGATTATAGACCCACCAGTGACTCAGGTTTTTACACGGGTGCTGGGCATCATGTTAGTGTGTCGAGCATTTTACCAAGTGACCCATCTTCCCAGTTCCTGGCTGTATAGTTTTTTGTTTTGTTTTTTACATTACACATTTAGAAATTCTTTTTAAAAAATTGAAAATCACCTCTAGGCAGGCAAACTTGCCAGCTTTATTTTTTAGCATGACTTTTCCTTTTAGATACTTTCAGATTTACAAAATAAAATCCTAAAGAAAACACAGAGTTCCCTCATGTCCCTGAAACTGCTTCCCTGTGATTACCATTTTATTTTTTTAAATATTTTATTTATTCTTTGTATTTGAGTGCATGCGTGAATTGCCTGCATGTATGTAAGCACAGGCATGTCATGCAATGCCTGCAGAGGACAGAAGAGGGTGTCAGATCCCCTGGAACTGGAGTTACAGACAGTTGTTAGTTGCCATGTGGGTACTGGGATTCGAACCCACGTCCTCTGCAAGAGCAGCCAGTGCTCTTAACCGCTGAACCATCTCTCCAGCCCTTTGTTACCATTTGTTACTTATATTACCACTTGTTACAACTGTGGGCCAACACTGGCCAGCAGTGACTAAACTCCAAACTCCATTTGGACTTCATTAGTTTATTCATTATTCATTAATGAATTTCCCATCTCACGGTCTGTCCAGGACGTCACCCTGCTTCCTCAGTCTGCTCTGGTCTGTGTAGGTTCTCAGTTTCTCCTTGCTGTCCATTACCCTGATTTGTCTGAGCTCTGCACAATGTCCCTCTACTGGGCTTGATCTAAGGCCTTCCTGTGACTAGATGGGGGCTGCGTGCTTAGAGAAGGGATGCCACACAGGGAAGGCCCTCTCACCACATGTCCCATCAGGTGACGTTCATCCTGACCCTGCTGTAAAGCCACCATCCTTCCTTCCACCCGGCCCGCCTCTCTAACTCCAGCCCACACTCGGAGGACTGAGTGAGGGTCAGCCACACATCCTGAAGCAGGAGGCTCTGCTGGGAGCTCTGCCTACAGTCATTTGTTCAATCGTTGATTTCGCTGTGGACGTCTGTAGACCGCACACAGAGTTACAACCCAATGTTCTATCACTCACTCCGCTCCGGCCGTGCTCACTGCGACGCGTCAAGGTGTATCTGTGTCCCTCGTGAGGCTCCCCTCACGTTCTGGTCCTCACAGAGCTCCACACTCGTCTTGATGCCATGGCATCAGCCCTCACCAGGTACTTTTCTCCACAGAACTTGGTTCTTTGCTATTAAGATCTGGGTGCGCTATGTTTCAGGAGAAACATCAAGGAAAAGGACACATGCATGGGGCATGCACGTACACACACCCATAGTTTTATAGTCTATACACATATCCTCCTGTCTCTACAGCCTGTCCACTTTCATAAGACCAATAAGGACACGCACACACGCACAGGACATGCATATGCACACACCCATAGCGCTCTCGCTCTCTCTCTCTCTCTCTCTCTCTCTCTCTCTCTCCCCATACACACACACACCCTCCTGTAACTCCAGTCTTTCCACTTTGATAAGAACTTTTAAATTTTTTAAGCTAATCATCCAAGAGCCCCGTGGTGTGATAACTTGGAAGACACCAGGGTAACGGTAGCGAGCATTCAGAGTGGGTCGGTGTGGAAGGGATTGTTCTGAGTCCTGCAGGCTACATCCCAGCATCCTGAGAAGACCCTGGTGAGATAATAGCTCTATCTCCCCACCTTTCCACATGAGTCTGTTTGCTGTGGAAACATTAAGCACAGCAGAGAACAGTGTGCCATGCTTCAGACCAGACCTGAAACATGGGCTGCCATCAGGACACTTCCCCAGGGTCCTACGGGTCACCAGCACTGGGAGCGTTTCACATAAACTGCCTCTATGGGGCTGACTTCAGAGTAGGGATAAGGGATCAGCATGCCTGAATGGGAAGCCAAGGACAGACTTAGGAATTCATCCAACGAATCAAATATAAACCACTGAAAGTGAAGCTGAAAGACTGTGTTGAGTGGTTGAGTGTGTATGTGTGTGGGTGCACAAATGTGTGCAGAGGTGAAGCAGGAGGAGGAAGGGACCTTTGGAAAAGGAGGAAGCGACTCGAGAGGACAAGAGAGGCTCACAGACACGTGGCAGAAAAGCAGAGGATAGACCATCTGCAGGAGAAAGGGGACCAGCAAAACGGGGTGGGGGCCAGCATGGGCAAACGAGAGCCACATGTGTGATCAACACATTCAGAACCTCAAGATGAAACCCTTCAAACTGTGTCCTCACCGAGGCAAAGTCTACAAATTAAAGACAGAAAGAAACGAGGCAATGACAAAATGGAGCTGGGTTTTGAGTGGGACAGCACACGTTGGACTTCAGAGCTGTTCAATGTCAGAGAAACAGCACTTAGATGAGTGTCCGATAATAAAGATCCCAGAACTGACTAGAGACGGGACCTGAAATCAGTTGTAGCTGCATAGAAGGTGCTGAGAATTTCTAAGAATCTGTGAGGATTCTCCAACAGAGAACCAGACAGCCACGTGACGGGGGTAAGGTTTCTCTGAGGTCCAGTCTGTCTGAATTCACAGGGAGAGGTGCTGAAAGTGCTTTTGTCCTGATACCAAACCATCAGATGGTAAAACATAAGCCTCAAAGAAAGCAGACATCAATATTCTAATTTCCTAAAGTCTGCAAATTCCAGGCCATAAATAAACTGGAAGTATTTGAATAGAAATACTTAAAATCCAGGAATCTGGGGCTGGAGAGATGGCTCAGTGGTTAAGAGCACTGGCTGTTCTTGCAGGAGACCTGGGTTCGAATCCCAGCACCTACACGGCAGCTAACAACTGTCCATAACTCCAGTTCCGGGGATCCAGGCACCTCTTCTGTCCTCCGCAGGCATTGCACAACATGGGTGCATGTACCTACATGCAGGCAATACATGCATACACATAAAATAAAAATAACAAATAAAATATTTTTTTAAAAAGATCCAGGAGTCCTTGGGATGTGTCTTGGTGTTAGCAAACACAATATGCACAAATCTAAAAGGAGTACTATATTTGACCTTCACATAACAATAACTTTATAATTATTTCTATACCCTTGAAATAATTTAGTTTATAAAATGTCATGTTTGGACCAGTAAGTTAGCTCAGTGGGTAAAAGCACTTGACAGGCCTTGATGACCTGTGTTCCCTGGAAACCATAAAACCCAGATGTGGTGGTTCACATCTGTAATTCCAGCACTCCTATGACAAGATGAGAACTTTCTAGAAGCTCACGGGACAGCTAGGCTGGAGTACACAGAGCAGCAGAAATGAGAGAGACCTGCTTCAACAAGGTAGAAGAGAGCAGACCCCTGGAAGGCATCCTCTGACCTCTACCTGACCACCACGGGATGCACATGCGTGCACACACAGTTCTTTAATGTGGTGGTTTGGGCCATGCTTGAACATGTGGGATAGAGATTTGAAGAAGTCATCCTGAATTTTATATATAATTATGCTATATAATTTTATATGTATCTGAAGCTGTGTGACAATCAAAAGGATTTCAGTATACTACTCTAAATTTTGTGCAGCTTTGAAATATTCCACAATAAAATGCTAAAAATCTAGTCTAATATCTTCTTTTGACTTATAAAGAAAAAGAATTAGAGAGCTTAAGTAATCTGTAAAGATCAAGCTACTGGTTAGTGCAAGAAATAATCCCTCACTCAAGTCACGTTCTATGAATAAAGGAAACACAAAAGGAAATTGAATATCTCTGTAGAGTTTGACTAGATAAAAATTTGTGTTGACTTAAGAGTTTAAAAAATAAGTAAAGGCACTGGGTGTGGTGGTACATGCCTTTAATCCCAACACTCAGAGGCAGGCTGACCTCTGTAAGATCAAGGCCAGCCTGGTCTACATAGTGCATTCCAGGCCAGCTGGGACTACAGGGAGACCCTGTCGCAAAAGAAACCAGGAAGAGGAAAAGCTAATTCTTACCACTCCGATGCCTTCGAAAGCAAACACAGCGGTACCAAAAAACAGTGGGTATTTCTTCCAGCCGGCTACAATGGGAAGGTTGTGGGGATCTGGCATGTTCTGCAACAGGAAGGGAAGAAAACCAGGTCACAGCATTATCTGTGTAAATAAGCTAAAAGAAAAGAGCATTCCCACATTTTCCTGAGCTCCACAGAACAACTGGGTGACGGAAGTGAGCATGTATTTCCACAGACACTTCAGCATCCTGTGTAAGTGAAGCAAGGCTGTTAGATGTAACTGTGAGGCAACTGTTTCCCTCACGCCCACACATTCCTGCCGAGCACCTGTGCCCACCATCAAGTCCCAGGCAGTGGGCGTGGGGGGCCTCCTGCCACATGGGACTTCACAGGAGTGCTGGAGCCAGAGCCCACAGTCACTGCTGTGACCACTGGTCTCACTCTTCAGCTCCCTGAGACAGCTGGCTCGTGACTTTGGCTGTCTACTATCCTGGCTGCTCCGGATGTCCCCTGGTTTTAGTCTGCGCTCTGATATGACAACCCCTATTCCTTATCTGTAGATAATCTCTCTGTCCTTGGCTGCTTGGTACTGTGGTTCCTTCCTCTCTGCAGACACAACAAGCACAGACCTCTGACTCCATGACCCTCTCCTGCAGACACCTCAACGCTTACTTCCCACCGCCCTCTTCTCTGTCTTCCTAACCTAAAGCAGAATTCAAGTCTCAGGGCAGAGTGTAAGCGAGCTTTAGTGTGCAGCCACGTGGCTAATTTGGGGGACACAGAGACTGAGAACAACTGAGGCATTTGCAGAATTTCACAAAGATGGTGTTTGGCAGCAGGAGTGAGGGTCAGGCCAAGAAGGTCATGGAAGGTTCCTGATCATCTGGTACCGCCAAATCGCTTCTCAGGACAGCAAGACGCCATGTTCCTCCCTCTCCTCAGGAATCTACATTTTCTGTGCCCAGCTCTGGGGCCATGAGCCCCAGGGACAGTTATGGGATCTCCTTCCTCTTCCCCTGTACTCATGTGTGATGAGAGAGAATACAGGTTTGAGAATCCAGAGAGAGGAAAAACAGAACAGACCCACTGTGAACGTTTGTAATGAACTGTTAATGGAAATTTGACCATTGTCTTAGAAGTAATATATTCGACAGATTAGATCAGCAGAGAATAAAACAAGTATTCTCAACATTGGGGTCACTGGCCCTTCAGAAACTGGGTTAAAAATTCTAAGTGGCCAGGAGCGCACGCCTTTAATCCCAGCACCCGGGAGGCAGGTGGAGAGGAGGGGGGAGGGGGAGGGGGAGGAGGCGGCAACAATGAGGGACAGAGACATCAGGTCCCACGACTGCACGGTCTGCACAGAAAGGAATTGTAGACTTGTCTTGTGGCAGTGGAAGGTAATTGTGTGCATCAAATAAAAGTTTACAAGTGAAAGAAACTTTATCAACCCTCTCCCCACAAGGCTCAGGGAACACTGTGGAAGCGAGAAGAGCCAGAAGATGAGAGAGAGATGCTTTTGCTGCTCCTGCAAAGGACTTGGATTCAATTCCCATCAACCACATGGCAGCTAACAGCCACCTGGACCTGCAGTTCCAGGGGATCTGATGCCCTCTTCTGACCTCCATGGATACTACATGCATGTGGTACACTTATATACATATAGGCAAAACACATAAAATATAAATAAAATTAAAAATAATTTCTAAAAGAGTCAGTGGGGCTGGAAAGGTGGCTCAGCAGTTAGGAGCACGGGCGACTCTTGCAGAGGACCTGGGTTCAGTTCCCAGCAATCACATGGCAGCTTGAAACCACATGTAACTCCAGCTCCAGGGGATCTGTCGCCCTCTTCTGGCCTCTGTGGGCACTGTATAACACAGGTGCATTCATAAACAAGTCCAAAAATCTTTTTAAATACACAAGAGCCAGAGGAAGGGGAGAGAGCTGTGCTGTGCCCTGTTCTAGACAGGCCTGGCTATCCTACCATGAGCACAGCTTGCAGCTGTGGTTACTGGCACAAGATGAAGCCAGCCTAAATCTGGCATAGATGGGGAGGTGCTCTATCCCACTCCTTACTGAGGAGTGACTGACAGTTGAGAGCTGCTAGGGGACGAAAAAAAAATCTCCTTCTTTGAGGGTGTGCCAGCGGTAGCCTTCCCACAGTCTGTGGATGGCCAATGTACATATGGACAGCACTGAGTGGACTTAATGGATTCTCAAAGAAGAAAAAGAAGAGGAGGAGGAGAACATGAAGCTGAGGGGGACGTCCTGAGGGGTAAAGGGAGAGAGAGGCAGAGGGGAGAAACTGGGCCAAAAGTATGACGCAGGTTTCACTGTAGACATATGTGAGAATTTCATGAATAAAAAAGGTTTTTTTAAAGACATGAAAGAAAATTACAGAACTACACACATCCCCATCCCTTGTGACTGCCTCAAAGGTTAAAGACACAAACAAAACACTGAGTTGGTTCATGAACGGCTCTGTACTAAAAGCAAGACCCTAAATCTCACAAGAGCCCTAACAGGGAAGGTATTACCATGTGTAACCCAGAGGGAGATTACTCATTCCTCAGAAATATGGGTGCTGGGCACCCTGGGAAGAGGGGTGGAGCCAGCCACCAGAGGAGCTGCACGATTGGAGGATTGGGGGGTGGGGTGCTGTGGCTCCAGGGGGAGACCAGGAAGTATGGCTCCTATGGGGCGTGGGAGTGAGCCGGGCACTCACAGACCATGGGGAGAGACTGTGCGCCCAAGGAGTCTGCTGGCGGGGCTTGATGAAAAGCCATCTCTTTGTAAGTCCTCCCTCCCTGTCATGTAAACCATGCGAAACCCAAGATAAAAATGTGTTATGCTGGTTTTGTCCATCCACGTCAGGACCATGAGACCCTGAGTGAGTAAGGGCGGGTCAAACAGAGAGCAGGAAGGGGAACATTTAGTGCACACCCTGTTTGAAAGTCTGAAGGCAAATTCCACAGCATTTCACCAAGTAAGCCAGACCCAACCGAAGAACTCCTATTGCTGGGGCTGCTGCGATGCTCTGCTCAGCAGTAAAGAGCACAGACTGCCCTTGTGGGAAGCCAGGTTCAGTTCCCAGCACCCACAGCTTACAGCCAGCTGTCACTCCAGTTCCAGGGTATCCAACACCCTCTTCTGACCTCCATAGGCATTGCACACATGACGTATTTACATACAGAAGCAAAACACACACAAAATAAATACAAATACATTTTTAAAGCACTTGTCATGTCTGCAGCACTTTCATCAGTAACGGGATCCCCCAGAGGGAAATCAACATTTGCTGCCTGTCTGCTGTGTGCCACAGACACGGTACCGGCCTCTCCGTGTCATTACTGTCACCTCCAAGGTACAGAGAAGCTCTACCCACGTGGGAAACTCACGACAGTCAAAACATCCTTACCCTGAGCACATACTGGTATATAATCACGAGACTGGCAGCCATGGAAACGTTGGCAAGGAACGAGAGTACAAAGAGATTCTTCAGCTCACGAATGAAGACCAGGAGAATCAGGAAGGGAAGAGAGCAGAGCATGTAGACCCTGAGGTCCACACTTCTTCTCTCGCAGGGGTGGGTCGGATCTGTGCTGTTGGAAACAAACACTTTGCTCTCCAAGAATCCTTCATGAACCTGCACACAATCACCAGGAGGGAAGGAGGAAAGCATCCATCAACTTACAGTCACGAAAGAGACGAAATCACAATCTACACCCACTACGATAAATCGTGACATTCTTGATAATAAATAAAATACATCTCTGAGAGCAAGGATCTGACTGCCAATTCTGACTCTCGTCAGCGCAGAGCAGAGCACGTTTTACCCTCTTACCGTGACTGCATCCTTCCCCACTCTGCATGACCACACATACTAGTCTATCCTTTTGAACCCTTACAGAGTTTCAGAGAGGAAGATTAGGAAGAGCTACCAACCAAAGACAGACCCTCCAGAAGCACCCAGCGTCTTTGTCCACACCAACTGGCACGGGGCTTCGTAGGACCCAGCACAGCCGTATGTAGCCACATAGCAGACTGCCACATCTGACTGAAAAACCAACTCGGAGGCCGTGAGTAAGGGAGCAGCAAGCCCACCCTCCGTGTGGAGTGGGTCGAGGCAGTTTCCCTTCCTTTCTGTATGACTCTGGCCTCACAACCAGAGAAAATACTCACCTGTTTTACATTCTCGGCTAAGAAGACAATGTAAACACTGCAGAATCCCAGCTGTGTGACCACCAGAAAAAAGTCGACCACGGTCCTAAAGAAACAGCCCCACAAGGGGGTGTCAGTGGGCGCCACGAGGCCATCAGGCAGTTTCCCAGTTAAAATATCCTGTGTGTGAAGTGCAGACACGTCTGCATGTTGGACTTGGAACAAGGAGTTAGCACTGTAGCTGGTCCCCTGCCGACTGCCCTCTACCCCAGAAAACAGTGGCAGAGTGTGGAAATCAGAACCTAAAGCTGTCTGTCTACAAAGATTATTTATATTTTAGGTCCCCACAACCTTATACTTTTATTTATGTCTTATCAGATTAAAATAATTTAAATTACTGAAACTTCAACCAACGTATAGACATTAGAAAGCAGGGACGGCCTCACCGTCCCCAGGCTGCCTGTCTCTGCAGACAACTCCAAGGGCTGGCCTCCATGGCGAAGCTCACAGTGTCACTGTACCCCAGCGATGACTTCTTAAACCTGCAATACACACCAAGAAAATCATGAAGTTGGTCCATAAGGCCATCCATGAAAAGAACACCGAAAAAATAGAGATTTGTGAACTCAGGACTATACAACCAGATTCGTGCTCAACTGCAAAAATGTGTGTGCTCACACGCACGTGTATGCTCACATGCACGCTTGTGAAACTTTACATTGTCATCTGTGCTTTCCACCAGCACACTGATTTCCGTCTGCTGCTCAAGTTTATCTATCTGTAGAGTTCAGACAACTCAGCACTGGGACCTCATTAATTTAAATACTTCAAATGCCTGAAAGTATCGACTGTATTGCTCATATCAAGACTTCTACTGTTGCGACCGCGCAGGGCAATACATCTGCGTGGGGCTCTGCTACAGCTTCATAGAGACTGTCTTAATCTTCAGAACAGCGCCAGGAACTGAATGTCACTTCCCCACTCTCTCACTCTTTCTTCTCTTGGGCATGGTCTTTAGACATTATCAAGGATGTAACCAGCCTTAAGAACATTCAGGAGTTGAAACTAGAATACTGGTCTACCATATATGAACAACTTTTTAAAGGCTGACTTATGGTCCAACACAAGCATCTCTTGATTCAAAACTAAAAAGGGATGTATTATTTCACTGACAGTCTATCAACACAATAATAAACCATCACCAAAGGCCTTCTGCCCCAAGCTGAGCTGGAACTGGAATTAATGAATTAAAACCTGGGGCCACCACTTCAAGCATATCCCTCCTCAGTTCCTTGAAATCTTCCTGAGTTTTCCCTCTTTTGCCAAACAAAAGAACCCATGCCATCTCTCTCATAGGATGCCTTTTAAAAGTGCAGTCACGGGATGGCAAGACAGTAAAGCACTTGCCACACAAGCCCAGAGATCTGAGCACAATCCCAGAACCCACATAAAGTGGAAGGAGAGAACCGACTTCACAAAGTTGTCCTCTGACCTCCACATGTGTGCTATGGCATGCACACACACACACCATACATACATACAATAATAGGAAGTTAATTTTAAAAAGAAAGTAGTCATGTTATCACACCCATAAGATCCTCATGTGTGGGTTAACCAATCACACAGAGAAAATGCATGAAAAAGTATGTCCATGTTGAACATACACAACTTTATTTTTCCTGTATTTTTTGGTAAACATCAAATACTAACTATGTGTGTAGCATTTATATTGATAGGTTACAGTAACTGAAGATGGTGCAGAGGTGACTTGAATATCTGCAGATTTTCTAATCACTAGGAGTCCTGGGATCAATCCTCCTACACCTCAAGGGATGACAGTGTGAGCAGATCCTGAAAGCATCTGACCTTATGAAACACTGCCCTTCCCATGGTCATTACCTTGGCCGTGTCTATACACAGGTGACAGGAAATACAACCCACAGTTGCAAAGCACAATAGGTACAAGGGACAATGATGCTCTAAATAAATACCAAATTTTACAATAAATCAAATAGACTTAACAAATCCACATTTACCTCTGACATAGAAAGTGACTGCAACGTACCAATATGTGCATACAGTGGACGGAAATAATTCCTATAAACACAAGGCTGATTGGTCCAAGCTGCGGAGAGGAAAATGTGTAAGTAAAGCTTAAATATTCATTTAAAAACTTGAGTAAGCTTATAAATAATGAGTCAAGGGAGAAATCATCTACAGTGAAAAAATGTTTGGACACAGTAATTAAATATCACATGTATGAGGGAAAATCAGAAAATCTGTTACAGAAAGGATCTCAGGAGAGAGTCACACAACCACACTATCCTCCCTGCTTGGGGACTGAGCCTGTGTTACAGAGAACACACAATCAGCAAAGAGGATGGAATGCAATGTCATATCTATGGGATGACACGTCTGTGGCATCGGCAACCCACTGTCTTCATGTGGACCTCCCACCACTCTGCAGATGAGAGACAATCCCAGCATCCTACAGTCCACTCTGAGAACCTGCATACACCGGGAACTGAGCTTGGAAAAACTGTGCTTCAAAACATGGTAGATGAAGATTTCCAGGTGTTTACTTGCCAAAATTAAAGCAAAGCTTGGGGTTGCCCCAAGTTCAGGGACTAGTACCCACGCTTTCTTACAATAATCAGACATTTACAGCCTAATTACCATACAGGAGGGCAGTTAGAGGAAGGTGACAGCTGAAAACCCTCTATAGAAACTAACCCATTTAAAACAGTAAGCACTGAGTGGGGAGGTGCACACCTTCAGTCTCGGCACTGGGGAGGCAGCAGACAGATCTCTGTGAGTTCCAGGCCAGCCTGGGCTACACAGTGAGACACTATCTCAATAAAGAAAAGAAAAAGAAAAGAAAGATAAAACAGTTAAACATGATTTCATTACTTCATCGATGAATTCTCCTCATCGGAGTTCCCTAATGTGATAATTACAGAAGCTATCTCTAACACTGCTGTAATGTTTGTTTTAAAAAGATATTTCTACTCAGTTCTCATCTATTCTCTTAAAGTATGAAAGCTGTGTGCACATTCATTCTAAGTCTGAAAAACTAACAGCTTCACCACAGAAACAACCTGTTCTATTTGCTGCTTTGAGCACAGCCCTTAAGTGCCAGATGACCTAAAAGAGTAAGACAGAACTGTGTCTGGAAAGTCAAGAACTGCCTTAGAAGAGCTTTTGGGTTTTGTTAAATGCTACAAATAAGTAATTGTGTAGAAATTAAAACACAGTGATTCTCACTTAGGGTGAGGTGTGGCTCTCAGACCTCACATGGTCCTGTCAGTATGACAGCCAATGGCATCTGGATGTCACCTGACCAGGTCATGTCTGATGAGTCACTATGCCTCAGATGGAGAGTTCCAGGGGCCTTACCACGATGCCTGCATTCTTTATTGCCAAGGGCAGTCCTAAAAGGCCAGTCCCAATGTTCCCTTTAAGAAGATGCATCAGTGTTTGCAGAAATCTGAAAAGTAAAAATGGTAAGATTTAAACAGCCTCGAACAAAAACATTAAATCACATGACAGTGATGTTATTATTAGAAGGCACCTAAGTAACAAACCAAATAACCATCCCCAGCAGGTGGGAAGTCACTCTCTGTCCAGGTCATCTTCAGTTTGTAAAAGGCAACTATAGGGCCAGGCTTGGTGGCGCATGCCTGGGGAGGCAGAGGCAGGAGGATCTCTGTGAGTTCAAGGCCAGCCTGGTCTACATAGTGAGTTCCAGGCCAGCTGGGGCTACAGGGAGACCCTGCCTCAAAAAGTCAAAAAAAAAAAAAAAAAGGCAAATATAGAGAATTATAGAAATTAAGTGAAATTGAATGAAAGCATTTTGCATACAGTAATATGTAATATAGTAAAGTAATATAAAAGTGCAAGTCTTAAAACTACCCTCAGGTAAAATAACCATTTTGAACATAGTGAATTCCTCAGCACCTGACCCTAGAGCAGTTTCCGGGAGCTCAGAGACGTTCTCCTGACCAAGAAGAAATTAACTAAATTAGGAAGGAGAACCCAAAATCCAAACTCATGTCACAAATATTGGTGCCTAAAATTATTTCTTTTTGAGTTTATATTATTTTGATCAAAGTTCAGGTCAATGTGCTTCATCAGTAAATTGCTATTAAAGTAAGAAACTGATCATCGTAAAACAGCAAAAACGGGTTCGGGCCCATTCTGCGCTCTTCACCCCCATGGTGGCCTACCTCCTCCAAGGCCATTCCCCTTGAGGCCTTTGACAGCTGTCTTCCCTGGAACTCCGCCATCCTACTCTGATCCCTAATGGCCCTCCTCTTCCTGGAGACTACAGGCTTCTTGGACGAACCTCACATCTTAATCTTTTCAATCATTTTGTGTTTCTGTCATATCAGACTGCAAACTGAAAGCTGAGAGAAAAGGGGCCACGACCCCCGCACTCACGAAATCCCATGCTGGCCCCCGAGCTGGTAGTGCTTCTGCGCCGGCAGGAGCTCCTGCTCCTGTTCCTCGTCTGACGAACCGTCGAAATCCTGCTCATCTATTAAGGGCCTCATCACGTCCATGTCTGCAAACAGAAACAGAGGCAGAGCTGCTACGAATGAGCTCTTAAATGTCAGGCTGGTGGGGTGGCTCGGCCCGCTCAGGTATGCGGACTTCCCACTCTTAGACACCCAGGTAGCAGCCAGGCAGGCATGGTGGCCTCCTGTCACCCAAGCACTCGGGGCACAGGGACAAGTGGCAAGCCGGCTAGCCAGACTAGCTAGATTTGACAAACTGTGAATTCAGCGAGAGACCTTAGGCAGAGGCAGGTGGATCTCTGTGAGTTCAAGGCCAGCCTGGTATCCATAGCGAATCCAGGCCAGCTGGGGCTGCAGGGAGACCCTGTCACAAAAAAAAAAAAAGAGAGAGACCTTATCTCTATAAATAAGGCAGCGAGAAACCAAGGATGACCCAATGACAGCTTCAGGTCTCCACACACATGTGCATGTGCCCCCAACACACACAGGCACACTCATGTGCACACATACATGAATGCATACACACACACAGAGGCAGAGGAAATGTCACCTATACTTATTTCAGTCTGAGTAACTTAGTTCCACAAAGCCACTCGGGTCTTGACACATTCAAAAGGAAACCAGACTTTCTGTATATTCTGTTTGAATTATGCAGTACAGAGTTTAACGTAAAGAATAGTTATTTTATCTGCACGAGGCTTTCAGTAAATAATCATAGAATTACAAGGTGAGAAATGTGAATAATCAAATATATTTTCATCTCTGGTCAACTTCAAATCATGCCATGTAGGTGACTGACAATCATGTTCTTAAATGCTTGAAGAAAACCACAGCCATTCCAATATTATTCTTTCTAACGATGTTAGATTCTTTCTAACAATGTTACAGCATGATCCTGCTCCTTTTAAAGAGAAAGATATCAGTCACTGTAATCTTTTCCCAGTAAAATTCACTAAATCAGGGGCTACAGAGATGGCTCGGCAGTTAAGGGCACTTCTTATAGACAACCACATTTCGCTTCCTAGGACCCACAACTGCCCATGACTCCATCTTCAGATCTGATGGCTCTGGCCTCCAGGGGCACCTGCACTCCTATACACATACCCACACACAGACACACATGCACACACACAAACATAATTGATACACACCAATTTTTTTTAAAGAACAAAATTACAGCCATTGCAGTATTAAATTTTTTCTATCAAAATAGTCCCTTCTTTCCAACCATGCTTTAGTATAAATACTGCTCCTTTCCAAAGAAAAAAATGATGGTCGCTGTCACCTTGCCTGAATAGCATTCACTGTATATGAGTTTATTAACTGAAGTAACCTGGCCAGATGGCACACGCCTTTAATCCCAGCACTCAGGAGGCAGAGGCAGGTGGATCTCTGTGAGATCAGGCCAGATGGGTAGTTCTAACTGCTGCCTTCGCCATGTTTATGATACCTTGGTTCTTCCCTTTCTCCTTAATATTTTTGCTATCTTCAGTTTTTAAGATTTTAATTTTAATTATGTGCACGTGTGTTTCTGTGCCCATGTGCGTGCAGCACCCACGGTGACCAGAAGAGGGCACTGGATCCCTTACAGCTGGAGGTACACGCGGTGGTAAGCTACTCTACACAGGTGCTGGGAGCTGGACTCAGGTCCTCTGCAAGAGCACTATGTTCACTTAACCACTGAGCGTCTTCAGCCCCTCGACAGTTTTAAATGCTACCCAGTGTCTACCGACGACCTGTATGTTACAGTCCAATGTGAAATTTCTGATAATGGCTCATGTGTTTGGACACTTGGTCCCCGGCAGGTGGCACTCTCTGGGGAAGTTGTGGAACTTGGGAGGCAGAGCCTACCTAGAGGAAGGGGTTCTCTGGAGGCAGGCCTTGCGGTTTATAGCCCAGCCTGCTTCCTGTCCTGTCTCTACTTCCTGGTCCACTGAGTGCTGCCAAGTCCTCCCCTGCCGTGACCGACTGTATTCCCCTCACACCATGAGCAAATGCTGCTGCCTGTGCATTCGGTCACAGAAACGAGAAAAGTAATTAGTGCACTAATGACCGTGACTAGTGCACCACACGGCTGTGCCTCCAATCCCACCCACAGCTGCTTTTCTCTTATTTTTAGCCGTATTATTTTGTGTTCTGGCTACTTTTCTATTGCTGTGATGAAACAACTTGGGGAGGAAAGGGTTTATTTGGCTTACAGCTGATAGTCTGTTACTAAGGGAAGCAGAGGCAGGAAGTCAGGGTGGGAACCTGGAGTAGAAGCTAAAGCCAGACCACAGAGGAACTCTGCTGACTGACTTGCTCCCCTGGCCTGTACTCAGCCTGCTTTCTTATACAACCCAGGACCACCTGTCCAGGGGTAGAACCCTGGCCTTCCCACATCACTCAGCAATCAGGAAAAAGCCAGTCTGAAAGAGGAAAATCCTAGGTGTGTCAAGTGGACAACTGTGGCTACCAAACACATTTCCATTTCAGCAACCCACAAGCAAGTTCCCCAATCATGTCTCCATCTGATCTTGGATGCAGCTCTCCAGCTAATATTGGCATTCACTGTAGTTCTCTTACAAGGTTTCCCCACTCATCCTTCGGCTGACGGAAGTTCACTGGTTGAAGAGAGTAACAGGATGGGCCCGCAGCCTTGCTAAAAGTAAACGAACATAATCTGCCTCCAAGTTTCTGAACTCCGTAGGCCTGGGCTGGGTCTGAGGACAAGCATGTGAACCATGAGGCTTTATGCTGCCGCTCTGGGAACCTACTTTGGGAACCCCAGGCCTGGCGGATTCTGCAGGAAGGATTCAGGATTCTCTGATGATTGGGTGTTTGCTCAGTTAGCAAAGTCTCTCACTTCTATACATACTCTCCTCGTGTTCACCTCCCAATCCCCTTCCTTCCCCTACTGGCCCCTCTGTCTTCTTTCACCCCTCCCCAGCCCTTCTTTAAGTCCTCATAAATTAAGATTTAGAATCCACATAGGAGAGGAAACGCGTGGATTTGTCTTCCGGATCTGCTACCCTCCCTGTACGTCATTTCCAGTTCGTGCACTGTCCTACCAAACGCCATGGTTTTGTTTCTTTGCAGCTGCGTACTGCTGTATCGTGTTGTGTGCCACATTCTCTTTGTCATCTCTCGATGGACGTCTAGGCTGGTTCTATTTCCTGGCTATTGTGAACCGAGCAGCAATGAACATAGATGTGCGGGTACCTCACAGATGGACTACTCGAAGTCTTTCAGGACTCTACCAGGCATAGTACATGGATGGTATGGTAGTTCTAGTTTTAGTTTTTCGAGAAAAGTCCATGCTGGTACCTAACAGCTGTAGTTCACGCTTCCAGCACCCGTGAGTTGGGCGCCTCTTCACCCCCATCCCCACCAGCATTTGCTGGTGTTTTCTCTGCAGGCCAGTTTTTCTACGGCCCGGCCCAGCTATCTAAAGAACGAGGTGCGCACTCACTGGTCCATGCTCTCTCTGAGTTACTTGAAAGTGTGGCCCTTGCATGCCTCACCTTCCCATCAGCTCCTTCTGGATGCTCTAGTGTCAGACTCTTTCTTTTCAGCCACTGACTAATTTCTTCTTTTTTTACTGGATGGTCTAGTGACTTTCCTTAAGGTCCAAATACTTCTATGACGTCCTAGACCAGGCCATCCTGATTCAATCATCTCAGGAACGGAACAAACTCGTTGATCTATCAATCCCTGTCTTCTCTTTTATTTCTAGACAATATCTTCGGTTACGGCTTTAAATACTTGTTCAGTTCAAATGTTCTCTCCTTTGAAGAGTCTAACTGCACCTGTGTCCACTCTCCCTCACCTGTGTCCGCTCTCCCTCACCTGTGTCTGCTCTATGTCACCTGTGTCCGCTCTCCCTCACCTGTGTCCGCTCCCCCTCACCTGTGTCCGCTCCACGTCCCCTGTGTCCGCTCTCCCTCCCCTGTGTCCGCTCTCCCTCCCCTGTGTCCGCTCTCCCTCCCCTGTGTCCGCTCTCCCTCCCCTGTGTCCGCTCTCCCTCCCCTGTGTCCGCTCTCCCTCCCCTGTGTCCGCTCTCCCTCCCCTGTGTCCGCTCTCCCCCACCTGTGTCCGCTCTCCCTCACCTGTGTGCGCTCTACGTCACCGGTGTCCGCTCTCCCTCACCTGTGTCCGCTCTATGTCACCTGTGTCCGCTCTACCTCACCTGTGTCCACTCTCCCTCACCTGTGTCCGCTCTACGTCACCTGTGTCCACTCTACCTCACCTGTGTCCGCTCTCCCTCACCTGTGTCCGCTCTATGTCACCTGTGTCCGCTCTCCCTCACCTGTGTCCGCTCTATGTCACCTGTGTCCGCTCTCCCTCACCTGTGTCCGCTCTATGTCACCTGTGTCCGCTCTCCCTCACCTGTGTCCGCTCTATGTCACCTGTGTCCGCTCTCCCTCACCTGTGTCCGCTCTATGTCACCTGTGTCCGCTCTCCCTCACCTGTGTCCGCTCTACCTCACCTGTGTCCGCTCTCCCTCACCTGTGTCCGCTCTCCCTCACCTGTGTCCGCTCTCCCTCACCTGTGTCCGCTCTACGTCACCTGTGTCCGCTCTCCCTCACCTGACTCCATTTCAAACTTTTTCTCACTGACCTTTGACACCTTTCTTTGCTTCCTCTTCATTTCTCTTTTTTCAAGGACACGTTAATGTTTTATTTCAATATGTTCTCCCTCAGAAATCTCGTAATTAATTCTTTATTTGGTCTTTTCCCTATTCCTAAGCATCCCCCACATGCAGGAACACTAATGCATGAAGCGTCCAGCTTGTTTCATGGAGGAGGCTGAGTAACTCAGGTGAGGAGGAAGCAGGTGTGTTCTGCTCAGGTTCATCTCTGAAGGATGCTCAGTTTTCTCCTTCACCATCAGGTGTGTGACAGTACTCCCCTCCATTCCCCCTCCCCTCCCTTCCTCTCCTCTTCTCTCCTTAGCTCGCTCAGTCATGTGAATATTTTCCTTTCCTGACCTAAGACTCTGAACTGCTAACTTGTAGACCTGACCTCTCAGTTAAGACGATCACACTGAGGAAGATTTCCTGCTTC